ACTAATTCATCCCATAGCTGTGTCAGCTGACCCCACTTCCAGGACACTAACCTATCCCATAGCTGCATTGGCCGACCCCACTTCTAGGACACTAATCTATCTCATAGCTGTGTTGGCCGACCCCACTTCTAGGACACTAATCTATCTCATAGCTTTGTCGGCCGACCCCACTTCTAGGGCACTAATTCATCCCATAGCTGTGTCAGCTGACCCCACTTCCAGGACACTAACCTATCCCATAGCTGCATCAGCCAACCCCACTTCTAGGACACTAATCTATCTCATAGCTGTGTCAGCTGGCCTCACTTCTAGGACACTAATCTATCTCATAGCTGTGTCAGCCAACCCCACTTCTAGGGCACTAATTCATCCCATAGCTGTGTCAGCTGACCCCACTTCCAGGACACTAACCTATCCCATAGCTGCATTGGCTGACCCCACTTCTAGGACACTAATCTATCTCATAGCTGTGTTGGCCAACCCCACTTCTAGGATACTAATTCATCCCATAGCTGTGTCGGCTGACCCCACTTCCAGGACACTAATTCATCCCATAGCTGCATCAGCTGACCTCACTTCCAGGTCATCAATCCATCCTATAGTCATGTCAGCTGACCCCACTTCCAGGGAAGTTGATCCATCATCCTGTGACATAGGCCAACCCCACCTTCACAGTCCGGCCTACCCAACCCTAGGGACCACTGGCTGATGTTGGTTAGTCCCAGTTTCAGGACGAAATGTACATGTCGGATGACCCACTTTTAGGACTACAAGTGACTGAATCATGTGGGCCGATGTGGTAGTAACAAAGCTGAGAACCACAAAAGGGACATACATGCTGTTCAACATATACAATGACTGCAAACATGACTGAACAATCGACAAACTGGGGACATACCTAGTGACCAACATAAGAATCACATGGCTAACAGCGAATGACGGGATGATGTGGTTAGGAGACTTCAACAGGCACCACCCAATGTGGGACGAGGAGTGAAACCATCACCTGTTCACAGTGACAGCGCTCACATCAGTGCAGAAGTTGCTCGACCTGGTAGCAGACTACAGTATGATACACGCCCTCCCCAGGGGGACACCGACCCTCCAGTCCTCCTCAATGGGAAACTGGACACACCCAGAGAATGTCTTTTGCACAGAGTCAATGCTGGAAGGCCTGACCAGCTGCGACACTAGTCCGGAAAACTGCGGCCCCAACACTGACCACCTTCCAGTGGTAACACAGCTAGACATAGGACTCACACCTACGGAATCGACCCCCTCCTACAACTTCCAGGAGGTCAACTGGAAGAAATTCAACAAGATGCTCCAAGCTGAGTTAGCAAGGATAGGACCACCAGCAATAATACCTAATGAAAGAGAGTTCCAAAGGATGGTGGGGGGCGTCGAAACAGTGCTACACAGAACATTGGAAAAGGAGGTCCCAAGGACATGCCCTCACCTACACAAAAAACGCTGGTGGATGAGGGAACTGACAATGCTATGCAATGACCTGAAAATGCTAAGTAAAGCCTCCTATCTTTTCTGGGCAATCTGCGACCACCCCAGTCACAGACTATGCAAGGAGAAAGCAAAAGATTACAAAAAAGCCATCCAATCGGCCAAAAAATCTCACTGGAGGGACTGGCTGGAAGAAGCAAACAATGAAGACCTGTGGATAGCTAATGGGTACATATCCAAACCGTATGGAGATGGCAGTAAGGCCCGTATACTGACACTCAGAAAGATCGATGATGAGGGCGTAGCCACCACGGTCAGCTCAAATGAAGGCAAAAGCACAATGTTTGTGCAAGTGCTCTTCCCTCCCCCCCCTCCCCACTCATCAGTCCTGCAGAACTATGACTACCCACAGCCAGCAGCCCACTGGTCTACCATCACACAGGACCAACTACAATGCATGATCAAGAATCTCAGCCCCTACAAGGCCCCAGGACCAGACAGGGTAGCCAATGTCATGTTCCAGAAGTCCACCATCCTTTCTGAATACCTAATACATCTCTTCAATGCAGCAGTAACACTACAAACATATTATGACCCATGGAGGGAATCCATAATGGTAATCCTACACAAGCCAGGCAAAGCAGACTATATGACACCTAAAGCCTATCAACCAATAGCATTGCTCAGCACCACTGCAAAACTACTGTCAGCCATAGTAGCCAGCAACATGTTGTTCATACTCGAAAAATACCAACTGCTCCTGCTGACACACTTCAGTGGAAGACCGGGACGATCAACCAAAGACTCACTGCTCCTGCTCGAAACCACAGTACAGCATGCCTGGCGACAAGGAAAAGTAGCCTCCACACTATTCTTGGACATAGAAGGAGCCTTCCCAAATGCGGTCACCAACTGCCTGTTGCACAACATGAGAAAGAGAGGCTTACCACTGGAGATAGTAAAGTACATGGAAAGATTGCTGACGAACAGAAGAACCAAGATATGTTTTGACAACTACAAATCTGAGTGGTTCAATGTGAAGAACAGTATAGGACAAGGAGATCCACTTTCTATGATACTATATGTCATCTACAGCTCAGACCTAGTAGAAATGGCCAATGGCAAAAACAAACTAACACGTGCTTTCGTAGACGACACTGCTCTCATCGCCATAGGAAAAACATTTGAAGAGACTCATGCAACACTAAAAAGCATGATGGAATGCGAAGACAGAGCCTACGCATGGTCCAAAAGTCACAACTCCCACTTCGAAACTAGCAAGTTCGCCCTCATGGACTTCACACTCAGCAGAAACAAACCCAGACCACCGCTAACACTAAGAGGTTCTACCATAAATCCGACATGTACTCACAAGTTCTTAGGTGTAATACTGGACCAGGAACTAAGGTGGAAGGCACAGGCAGCCCAAGCGATAGCCAAGGGAACGAAACAAGCCCTGCTCCTGAGAAGACTGTTGTCAACCTCCTGGGGAATCCCCACAAAACTCATGCACCAACTCTACCAAGCAGTAGTAGTCCCAAAAGTAATGTATGCTGCTCCAGTATGGCTCCAACCAGCCTACTCCAGAGACCACTCCTCCTGTTTGAGAGGATTGAAAGGCATAGCAAAACATATCACAATGATCCAAAGAACAGCAGCACTGGCAATAATGGGAGCCATAAGAACTATGCCTACTGACGCCCTACTAGCACATGCCAACATACCACCGGCAACCCTGCTCATTCAACACACGTTGTATAAAGCTGCCCTCTGCATATCAACTTTACCAGACATGCACCCTCTACACCTGCACATCAAAAGAACAGCAAAAAGAAACCTTAAACGCCACAGAACTGCACTCCACTGACTAATCCACGATCTAGAAATCTCTCCAGGCTCAATCGAGGTGATCCACCCATGCCCAATACCACCAAGTGCATGCCCATCACACTTGACTGTCATCGCTCCCAGCAAAAAAGATGCAATAAGAGACTTCACACAGACAAATGACCAAACACTGATATTCACAGATGGATCAAGCATGGAAGGAGGAATGGGAGCAGCAGCCATCCTATATGTCAACTTCAAGCATGTCATCACACTGTGTCACCACTTAGGCCAGGTGTCAGAACACACAGTGTTCGAGGCAGAAGCAGTAGCACTCCTTCTAGCAGCACACATACTAGCCACCAGAGATGAGGTCACATACCCAGCCTTGGTGCTCATAGACAACCAGGCAGTCATCAGATCCAGTGAGCACTCCTCAGCTAAACCAGGACATCACCTACTGTTACAGTTCAGATTGATGATCCACAAAACCTGCAATGAAGAACGTCTACCAAGAGAGAGCATCACACTCCAATGGATAGCTGGACACGTGGAAGTGGAGGGAAATGAACTAGCAGATAGAGAAGCAAAACTTGCAGCAAAAAGAGCAGAAACCACAAGCCCACCAGGAGACCTACCACCATTCCTAAACAAGCAACTCCCCATCAGCGCCTCCACCCTTAAACAATACCATGCCATGAGACTAAAAGTGCTATGGAAGAAAGAATGGCAAAAATCCCCTTGCCATGACTGTGAATCCATGATAGACCCCCTACTCCTGGGAGCTTCGTACACAAAACTAGTTGCCTCACTGCCCAAAAGACAGGCTGGACTATACATACAACTATGAACAGGACACATTCCACTTAACAAACATCTGCACCATTTTAAACAAAGCAACACTCCCATGTGCCTGCAGTGCAGGGAGACCACTCCTGAGGACATACATCACTTCCTTTTCCAGTGCCCCAGATATGACAGAGAGCAGCATGTACTCTGCAATGCACTGGGAAGAGATGCCACATCACTATCCTACATCCTCTCCAACATGGCAGCGAAGTCACACCTGTTCAAGTACATTTCAGCTACGAAAAGACTACCATAACAAACACCAGGTGAGGTATTCAAATAACACCATGGTAAATGATAAAGCCCAGCACAGGACCAGAATGCTTGTCAGCAGACCAAACATGTACTCAGTGTAAACACCACCTGCATTGACACTCACGTCCCCCCTCCCCCCACCCGACCAACACACATGAGATTAGATGCGTTCCATAAACCAATCACCCCGGCTATAAGCTATAACCTCCTAAAAGTGCCTCGAAGACCACCAAAAAAAAAAAAAAAACCCACCCTACCATTGCAGATGCAATCTCAGCACATCACAGCAGAGTCACCAAAAGGAGGCAGAAGAGCACGATGCCCATGCTCCAGCTAGCCTTGAAAAGCAGCCGGTTATGTGTGGATAGAATTATCGCCTGACAGAAGTATTAAACCACCCTTACTCCAAGGTGGAGTGTCTAAAATGGCCGGCAGGAACGGTGGACTGGTGGAGGGCCAAAGGCCCTGCCACCAGGGCATTCACTCGCTTGTAAGGGAAGGCAGGCCACAGGGGGCCTCTGGTTAGGTAGATAAACTATGTTCGTATAGTGCGACATAGGGTTACAATTACCCTCAAGCACTTAAAATTCGAATTAAAAAAAAAAAAAAACATGTCCAACTCACAAGACCCACCCGCTCTCGCATTACCGCCCTTCGATCATGTGAAGGCAGACGTGATCCTGCGCTCATCTGATGGCGTAGACTTCCGCATCTTCAGGCTCTTCCTTTCCCTCGCATCACCCTTCTTCGAGACGCTCCTTGATCTTCCCCAACCATCTGAGGAGACTGACACCGACATGGAGATCAAAGACGGACTCCCTGTTATTCCTGTCTCAGAGGACAGCAAAACGCTAGATTCACTCCTCCGCTTCTGCTACCCCTGCACCCTGGCAGAGGACCCTGTGCTTGAGGATTTCAGAGAGCTCATTTATGTTCTCGATGCAGCGAAAAAGTATTCCCTTGATGCCATCCAGCAGGCGGTGCGCAAATCTCTTTTCATTCCAAAAATATTGGAAATGAATTCGCTCTGCTGCTTCGCAGTCGCCTGCCGCACCTGACGAATGGTACTGCTAGTGAGGTGAGCGACTCGCGCTCATAGACTTTACTTTACTTTTTCGGTAGCATACATGCCCTCACTGCGTGGCCCTGGGAGTTTCTTCGTCCTTTCGTTGAATCTCCCAGGTGTGTATAGAGTACACTACGCTAGTCTAGTAGCTAATATGAAGTCCTTTCGTTGAATCTCCTAGTGTCCGCCTCCAGCTAGACTGGGTCTGCTGTGAGGTTATGAGCCCCGCCAGCGACCTTATAACCATGTCAACTTCAACCTCAGCCGACTCGTTCTGTTTTACCAAACTGTCTGGTTCAAACTATGCAGAGTGGGCCATCAACATGAAATCCACTCTACAGTCAAAGTACCTATGGCTTATCACAGATGGAAGAGAACTATGCCCATCTGAACCACCCGAAATGCAGCTACTTACCATGACTGCAATGGAGTTTAGAGTGGCAAGGAAGGAGTACCTCAACTGGTGTCTCCGAGATGAGGCGGCACAGGGTTTTATGAAGGGTGCAGCAGAGCCGTCGCAGTGGCCGCATGTCAGCGAGTGCCGCAGTGCCAAAGAAATGTGGGACACCTGGAAAAAAATTCACATCGACAATCAACAAAAGATAAATGTTCAATACTTCTTCAAAGAACTCTACACCAAGAAGTATGTCGACGGAACACCAATGGCCGACCACATAGCAAAGATGCTGGATATTTGGAACTGCATCACAGCTGCTGATGAGGAACTCCCAGACCTCCACATTGCATGTGCAGTCATACTATCACTCCCCAAGACTCCGACATGGGAGGTGATAACTGAGATTCAACTGTTTGGGCTAGATATGCTCACCTCTGAGATCATCAGCATGAAGCTCCAGGCAGAGGCCAACTGACACATGTGGGAAAAGTCAGGGACTGAGACTGCACTGCATGCGAGTGGTGCATCAGGAAAATAACACTTTACTATTTTTGACTTTTTGTGACTAATGTGACTTTTTGGGAAGGAATCTACTATCATTACCCATGTCCTGCAGGCATGGCTGCACTTTTCTTGCTGATTTTGGTCTTGTTCAAACCACCTAATTCATAGCTTTCAGTAGATACCACATACATTCAAATTGATGGAGGTTCCAAAGAGATATTATGATTTTTCTCTCAGACAGTGTGCATCACACCAATGGCTCAATATCTCTGAATTTTCAGACATTTTCTAGTCTTCTTGGCTTAGATATATCATCACTTAGTTGTCTCAATAGATTCTGTTCTCTTTTCATTCTTCAAAATGCTGTATATGGTCAAAAAACAAGTACAGATAGTAGGTTCCTTCCCAAAAAGTCACAAATAGTCACAATAGTCACAAAAAAGTCAAAAAAAGTCACAAAAAGGTCAAAAATAGTAAATTGTTAATTTCCTGATGTGGCAAAAAGTTGAAGAAGGGAAAAGGGAAGGGTCCCCAGCCTGATGACATATGTCGCTACTGCAGGGCCACTGGCCATTGGGCTAGTAAATGCCCATGCTGTGAGGAGGATGAGAAAGTCAAGCAAGGAAATGGAGAGAAATCAAACTTCACCATTGGAAACCTTTGGGAATTAGGGACTTGAGAAGTCAGATATACATGGTGTTGAGCAGCCCTACAGCTGCCCCTGCAGAGGTGCTGTTGGATTGCAGTGCATCTGTGCACATGTTCTGTGACCAAAAATACTTCTGATCATTTACTGCCAACAAATCAAACAAGACTATTTCTGTTGGGGATGCAAGAGACATACCTGTCGCTGGGAAAGGGTCAGTCAAACTGAAGTGTAGACTACCTGACAGGATCAGGACTGTTGTCCTGCATGGTGTGCTGCATGTACCACAGCTTGCTGCAAACCTGGTCAGCTTGGGGACCTTACAGTGGGCAGGAGCCAGGCACCACAGCCATGAGGAAGGAATTAGTGTAACCCTTGGGGGAGATGAATTACTCTGTGCATCATTCCCAACCTCCACTGCAACACTCTACCATGTTGACATGGTAGATCATGAGGTGGCATTTGCTGCTGTTGCCAGTGGGAGCATGTGGGTTTGGCACCATTGGCTGGGCCACCTGCACCTAGATGCTATTCGAACCATGGTGCAGAAGAACATTGTCAATGGACTCAATATCACATCACCCAAGGACTTTGACCATGTTTGTGAGGGTTGTGTCCTCAGCAAATCACATTGGCTACCATTCCCTAAGGTCAGCAACACCATCTACTTGAAAATGGAACTAGTTGTCATGGATATCACAGGTCCTATGTCAGTTGAGACTTGGACATGGTGCACTTATGCCATGGTGATCATTGAAGCTAGTTGCTGATTCAGAGTAGGATGGCTCCTTGAGAAAAAGGAGGAGGTTGCAAGTGCCTTGAAGGAAGTAGTTGCAATGTTGGAGAGGCAGTTAGGCTTAAAACTGAAGAAAATGTGCTCAGACAATGGGACTGAGTTTGTCAACTCAGTAGTAGAATCCTTCTGTTGACAAAATGATATCCTACATGAGACCACAGTGCCCTATGCTCTGGAACAGAATGGGATTGCTGAATGAAACATCAAGACCTACTTTGAAATGGTGAGACACATGATTCAGTCACTTGTAGTCCTAAAAGTGGGTCATCTGACATGTACATTTTGTCCTGAAACTGGGACTAACCAACATTGGCTGGTGGTCCCTAGGGGTGGGTAGGCCAGACTGTGAAGGTGGGATCAGCCTATGTCACAGGATGATGGATCAACTGCCCTGGAAGTGGGGTCAGCTGACATGACTATAGGATGGATTGATGACCTGGAAGTGAGGTTGGCTGACACAGCTATGGGATGAATTAGTGACCTGGAAGTGAGGTTGGCTGATGCAGCTATGGGATGAATTAGTGACCTGGAAGTGGGGTTGGCCAACACAGCTATGGGATAGATTAGTGTCCTAGAAGTGAGGTTGGCCGACACAGCTATGGGATGAATTAGTGACCTGGAAGTGGGGTTGGCCAACACAGCTATGGGATGAATTAGTGTCCTAGAAGTGAGGTTGGCTGATGTGGCTATGGGATGAATTAGTGTCCTGGAAGTGGGGTTGGCTGACACAGCTATGGGATAGATTAGTGACCTGGAAGTGGGGTTGGCTGACATAGCTATGGGATAGATTAGTGACCTGGAAGTGAGGTCAGCCAATGCAGCTATGGGATGAATTAGTGACCTGGAAGTGGGGTTGACTGACACAGCTATGGGATGAATTAGTGACCTGGAAGTGGGGTTGGCTGTCCTGGAAGTGAGGTCAGCTGATGCAGCTATGGGATGGATTAGTGACCTGGAAGTGGGGCCAGCTGACATGGCTGGGGGAAGGGATGATGTCCTGGCAGTGGGGTCAGCTGATGTGGCTGGGGGAATGAACCATGACCTGGAGTTATAGTTGGGCAGACACTTTGTGAGAAAGACCAATATCTTGATAGTGGGTCAGTGGGGCTGGCCAATCTTATTACTCAGTACACTACTTCCTTGGTAGTTAGCTGGCTGAACCCACATGGTTGTGGAAAAATCCTATGTCCTATCCTTATCCTGTGGTATTGAAGTCAACTCTACCAACCTGGCCATTGTGTTGGAATTAACATTGGACAAATTTACTCAGTTGTGTATCAGTACTTAAGGAGGAATTGTCCTGCAGGAATTTTGTCTTTTTCTGAACATTCAATGTCATATGAAATTTGAAAACACAAAGCAGCCATTTTTTATTGTAGTATATGCATATCATATGTATCAAGGTAGGGTATTTTACAAAGATCCCAACAGCCAGGATGATGTTTGCCCCTTTCCATGTGTCAGTTTGGTAGCCCCTTTGGACATGCAGATAGTATAGGTTTGGGGAGGCTGAGATGTGCCTTGTGTGTCCTTCCCACAGCCAGGATTCTTGCACTCATAGGAATAAGTCTGCCCTGAACAACCAGCCTCCCACTTCTGAATGCTATAACACTGAGGGCACTGGGCAGGCAATTGTTGTCCCCAAGGCCTGATGAACTTGTCAGTCCAGATAAATTTCTCCACCACTACCTTCTCCTGCCACAACATCAAGATGATGTTGGAGTGCCTACCCAACATACCACAGTCATTCAGGGCATACCTGACTGCACTTTGGACATGGAAGCCTTGAACAAGGGTGGAGTCAAGGACACTCATGAGGAAGGGAATGGTGGTGACTAGTTGAAGTCTCTCAGCATCAAAAAGCAGCATGGACCTTGGCTTGAAACTGATATGGTGTCAGCCATAACCACCAACATTGAAGGAAAACCTACTGTTGCACAGCTGCCTTCAGTCCTTGGAAGCTCTCCTCCTTCCTTACAGTAGAACCACATACAAAGAAGATGAGGTCTCCACCCTTGACAATGTTGGAGAAGGGTAACAGAAGGCACCTTGCAGAAACTGCAACTGATCAGATGGGAGTGACAGTCAAACAATGGTGACTTACCTCAAAGACCTCTGTGGCTATTGGAACCTTATTCTCTGTTCCAGAGAACAGATTCCCCCTGTCTTCATCAGTATGGGTAGTAAGGAAAATGACTACCTTAGCAAAGGTAGTCAGACTTGAAGCTAGCTTTGATGCTGCAGTGTCATAGGCAGCTCTGGACTCCTCAGTGGCAAAGTTGAAGGGCAGTTGTGAAAAGTGGTAGGTGTCTTGTGTGAAATATCCCTGCAGCATGGTGTGAAGGATATGCACAGGGGCATGGCCAAGCTCCAGAGACTCAAGGTGGAGGTGGATAATGGCAGTAGAGTTACCAGCCACTTCAGAGGTGGTGGCATGCTCAAACCCCCCAGTGACCACAAGAGGGTGTTTCAGGACTGGCTTGCCTGACAAGTAGAAGCCCTGTACTTGGAGTTAGAAGTGATTGGGGTGGCAATATGCACTTACAAAATAGGGCTGAGGACTTTCAAATCTTGTCTTTTTCCAATGACAGGCAACACACCTGAAGTTCATCCAGAGTTTGAGTCAATGGCATTGATTCATAAAAGGGAGGTTAACACACCTGAAGGTCACAGGAAGCTGGGTGACCTCTGCAAGGCAATCCTTGGGTACTACAACACACTTGTTACACACTACCCTTCTGCAACCTGCCTGATCACAAGGCCACAATGTCCCTCCATCCCTGCACATCACACAGAACTGCATAGAATGTTAGAAAGATGGATGGAATATAAAAAGAGACTTGCCAAGTTCCTCATCCTTCTCTTCTTGGCAACAGGGGCCTTCCTAGCATGGGCCTTGCTTGACTTGGCAGCATGTTTTTCCCTAGCTTTCAGACCAGCAAGAGATACCCTGGGAGCTCTACCCCCAGTGGTCTTCTTAGCTGTCTGCTTGGTCTTCACCATCTGAGTCTATTATGCCAACATTAGTGAGTGGCAGCAACATATGACACAGAAGGGAACAGTAGCATACCTCATTATCTTTACAAGACACAGAAGGTGTAGGGGACAAGCAGTAAGATAACAATAAATGCATTTAGTTTAGTACATATATCATGCAGCAGGGATAGATATCTACATATTTATGGAAAAGAGAAGCCAATGTATGCAACTACACAACACTGGGCACTGGATAAGCAGACCAAAGAGGGTGATATGTAAGTATCATCTGGACACCATGAAGTAGAAGTCCAACAACATACCTTATTGGATGAGACACAGCAAGGGAGATGCAGTGTGGCAGGAGGGAGATATGAATTGATAGCCTACTAGTGTGTTTTGTGAGTGGTACAGGGATGCCAGGAACTGGGACGACATACCTTTTGTAGGATGAGACACAGCAAGGGGGTGTTCTGTGAGTGGTAGAGGGATGCCATGAGCTGGGATGACATACCTTTTTTTTGGATGAGGCATGGTGAGGGGGGGTTTTGTGAGTGGTAGAGGGATGCTGGGAACTGGGACAACATACTTTTTTTTTGGATGAGGCATGGCAAGGGGGTGTTTTGTGAGTGGTAGAGGGACACTGCAATGTGGGACGAAATACCTTTTTTTTGGATGAGGCACGGTGAGGGGGTGTTCTGTGAGTTGTAGAGGGATGCCACAAAGCTGGGATGACATACCTTTTTTTTTTGGATGAGCATGGTGAGGGGGTGTTCTGTGAGTGGTAGAGGGACACTGCAACGCTGGGACGACATACCTTTTTTTTTGGATGAGCATGGCAAGGGGGTGTTCTGTGAGTGGTAGAGGGACACTACGACCTGGGATGACTTACCTTTTGTTTTTTGATAAGGCATGGTGAGGGGGTGTTCTGTGGGTGTTTTGTGAGTGGTAGAGGGATGCTGCGAGCTGGGATGACGTACCTTTTTTTTGGATGAGGCATGGTGAGGGGGTGTTTTGTGAGTGGTAGAGGGATGCTGGGAACTGGGACAACATACTTTTTTTTTGGATGAGGCATGGCAAGGGGGTGTTTTGTGAGTGGTAGAGGGACACTGCAATGTGGGATGAAATACCTTTTTTTTGGATGAGGCATGGTGAGGGGGTGTTTTATGAGTGGTAGAGGGATGCTGTGAACTGGGACAATGTACCTGTTTTGTTGATGAGACAAGGTGAGGGGGGGATGTTTTGTGAGTGGTAGAGGTATGCTGGGAACTGGGATGACATACCTTTTTTTTGGATGAGGCATGGCAAGGGGGTGTTTTGTGAGTGGTAGAGGTGGTAGAGGGACACCAGGAACTGGGACAAAAAATCTGTTTTGTGGATGAGGCAAGGCAAGGGGGTGTTCTGTGAGTGGTACAGGGATGCCAGGAACTGGGATGACATACCTTTTTTTTGGATGAGACATGGCAAGAGGGGGGGTGTTTTGTGAATGGTAGAGGGATGCTGTGAGCTGGGATGACATACCTTTTTTTGGGATGAGACATGGCGAGGGGGTGTTTTGTGAGTGGTAGAGGGATGCTGTGAGCTGGGACAACATACCTTTTTTTGAATGAATGGGCTTACAATGTGAGTAGTATGGGACACTGAACAATGCATAATAGCCTGAGAACACTGGCAGTGTCCTGGTGTGTGATGTGAGTGTTGAAAAAGATGCTGTGAGAGGTGTGATAACATACTTTTTTTGTTTTTTTTGAAGGGAGACATGGCATGACATACCTATTTTGTGTTTAGACAGGGAGAGGTGCAAGGGATCTAGAGGATGATGATGTACCTAAAATTTTGCTGAGACACAGCAGGGCCAGAGAGTGGGATAGTGCAATGATGGTCAGTGAGCAAGGCACTGTGTGGCAAGAAGAGAGGAGCAAGAGACTGTGTCAATCCAGATACTTGGATGCACAGATCTCAATTGTGGACAGGTAGACACTGTCACATAGTGAGATCTATGATAATCTTGACACAACCTTAATTGTGACATGAACAATGTCATGGCTGTCATGATTATCACACCTGTTTACCCATACTTTGGATGCATCTCTGGAACATTATGTAGGACTATGTATGGAGTGGTCAGTTGCCACTGGGCTGATTTCTGGTTTCAATAAGTAGGTGGCTACATGTATTACATGATCTGGTAGTGCTACTACAATTCATTTTCTGTGAAATCCCAAGGGTAAGCCACCACTACTGCTCAGCCAATGGCACAAGTGAGTGCTTGCTTGGCTTGACACTGCAATTATGAAAATGTCAAACAAACATTTAGTATTTAGTATATAGAAGCCAAATCCAGTGACAGTGGGGTCACATGACATCACTATTTGCTATGTATAGTATGACACACAGTATTGACTCAGAGGCAGTTGCTGGCACATGTGGCATGTGCTGAGGCCAAGAATGTGACATGCATAGAAGCCAAACTTTGATGGCAACCTCACTAGTTGGACTGGTGCCAAACAACAGTACATAAGGCTCAAGTATATAAATCCCCCCCAGTCATTGGCATGACTTTTTCCTTACTGCATTTCCCTGCAATGGGACTCTTCTCCCCCATTGTTCTTCTCTCTCTCTCTCTCTCTCTCTCTCCCATTTCCTTCTTTACATCACCTTCATTGCTATCTCAGCACATTGTCTTGGCTGAAACAAGGTAAGTGTTTCCTTTCATCACAAATTTTTCACATACTTGATCACTGTTACATTGTAGCATCCTTGGCACCTCCTTACTGAATGTAGTCTGCAGCTACAGGATGTAGGGAGGGGCTACCCTCCCCCTTAGATTGTGCTTGGCCAGCACAGTTTTTGGTTGGGGGGTAATATGTTGGGTCTGGGGGAATAGTCTGTGCCTATTTTTTGTAGGTCAGCTCATATGGGATCTGGGGGCTAGTCTGTGCCTACATTGTAGGTCAGCTTATGACATTTTTTCTGTGTGATATGTGCTTGTATATATTGGTAGTAGCTAGTTGGTCAGGCTTTGGTGTAGTGAGTATTCAGCTTTTGTATAATCTATTTTGTACTGACATAAACCTTGTAGAGCTGTTTGTCTTTGTCTCCTGGTGAATAGTGCACCTCAGGTATGTGAACCTTGCAAAGTTGTGTTGATGCTAATGTGCTTTTAGGATCTTTGTTATCATCTCTTGTGCACTTTTTTGGGAACTTGGTTGAATTGGGGGCAGTTTTTATTGGCCCAACTGTACTTCTGGAGGAGGGCCCCCTCTGGAATGCAGGCAAGCCTTGGTTTCTTATGAAACCATTGTGCTTTTGTAGTTGAAATTGTAACTGTAGTTGAATTTATGTATGGACTTGTCAATGTCACTGCTTTGATTGTATTTGAATGCTGTGTGGGAATCTATGCCTCTTTTTTTGAATGAAACATGTGCTAACCCTAACCCTAGCATAAGACTTGGTGTATTTTTTCATGCAAGTCTCCTTCTAACCCTAACCTTAGCAAATGACTTGGTGTATTGTTTCATGTCAGTCTGCCTAGCTGGTGGATGGTGCTAGATTAGCACTGGTGTTCCATGGCTGATCTTCTTAAGCAAGGTTTCCCTTTGATGCTCAAGAGCTTTCCAATGGCATTACTAGCAACCCAACATCTTCCCTTCAAATGCTGACTGGATGTGTTCCTAGCTGTTGGATGTTGCTAGATTGCTAGATTAGTATTGGTGTTCCATGGTTTCCCATGATGCTCAAGAGATTGCTGGACTGGATTGACTTGGAGTTCAACTGCTGCTGAGTTTGATTGCACCACTCCAGGCCCCTGCTTACATGACTAGATGTTTCAAGAAACATAGTGTATCTAATAGAATAAGTTGGGTTTCTGGATTCTGGATCTTCCCCCAAGTCAAGCAAGGTCCC